GCGGGGAGAAGTCGCTTTCGGCCTATACAGTAGCCAATCAATAACGGTTATTATATAATACTAACATAATGGTTATTATAATTCTAACGTAATACTAACATGGCCGAAAAGATGAAAAAGAATGTTGCGTGCATGCATGCAATGGATACCTGAAGGACACCGTCAACCCTATCCGAAACTATGGAAGGGAGCGGTGATGAGTTGGTTGTTGAGAGTCGGACCCTGGAAGCGCCATCGGAGATTAGAAAGCAAGCAGCCAACAACAAGAACAAAAGAATACAAGCTTTCGAAGCCATGGATATATATATATTTTATTTCTTTAGTACGTTGCTTGGAGAAAATTTTCCTTATGCTTTCAACTGTGAGTTTATGTTTTTCTATATGGAAGTGCGATTGTTCGACATATATACACACACATAAGTCCGGCTTTATTCCAATTAAGAAGACTCTAAACTTGATATTTGTGTGAGAAACAGGAAAGGAATTAGCTTTCGTACGTACTCCCTTCTACTATAGTTTGTCCTAAGTGATGTTTCAGTTTAATTGCTTTGCTACACCCGGATAAAGGAACCCTATTCCATTTGTCTCTTTTGTTTTCAGAAAATACTTGTCCAAATAACATACACATACGTATCCACTTTCATTTCTCTTGCATTATAAGGAAACTCATCTTTGTTACAGTGATAAATATATTTTTTTTTAACCCAAGATAAGCCCCCAGGGCATGGCCAGTCAACACAATTACAAGAAAGACACTAAAAGAGAACGGTAATCCGTATGCAACCGGACTCCCGATAAAAGAGCCTGTTTTGCCACGAGGTGGGCAGCTCTGTTGAAGCTCCGAGGAGCAAAAAGACACGAGACAGATAGGAAGGAGGCCAGGAGAGAGTGAACTTCCTCTAAAATTGCTCCCGCTCTTGAATGTGAAGCCTTCTTTGATGTCACATCCTTGATGACCAATTGAGAGTCCCCACAAAAGACAACAGTCAAGAAATTGTGGGTAAGACACCATTTCATGGCATCACGAATAGCAAGTAATTCTGATATATAGGCATCTGAGATGCCCTGATAGAATTTACCAACTGCAAATGTGATATTTCCATCACCTGTAAAGCCCACGAAGCCGGTTGCACATCCTTGAGGGGGTTTTGTTGCCCCGTCAAAACGAACCAGGATACCTTCACTAGAGAAAGAAACATCTGTTCTTCTCGAATGAGGACCTTGGCCTGTGGAAGAGTGGGGTATTGACCTACGGACTTCCTCGGATCTCTGAACCTTCTGTGCCTCTGCCATTTTCCATTCCTCCACCTGCGCTAAAAGTTGCCTGTATAGAACATGTGACCTGTATAAAACGTGTCCATAGGTAGCCTTGCATCTGCCTTTCCATATTCTCCAAAATAAGAAGACAATGAAAGCTACGTCATTCTTGGTAATATGGGGTGTGAAAAAGAGGTTTCTCCACGCAAGATCCATAGGAGTTGCCCTCATCATATCTCTTATATGATCAAGGTCGGATCGTGTCCACAGTTCTCTTGTAATTCTACAGTCGAAGAAGCAGTGCTTGAAGTCGTCATTTACTTCGCAGCAAACAGGACATGAACTTGAGGAAATAATTTTCTTATGTAGGAGGGTTCCTTTAACTGGTAAAAATCCACGCACCAATCTCCAAAGAAAGAATTTGAGTTTAGGAGGAATTGGAATATTCCACAGGAATTTCCAGAACTTGGTGTTCAAAAATTCTGGCAGGGAGACCCTGGATGAAGTTAAATTATCCGAAAGGAGGTGGTACCCTGATTTAACTGTATAATGACCAGACTTGTCATAGTGCCAAATCAATTTATCTTCTTGAACAGAAGATGGGAGAGGGATGAATAAGATTTTATCAATCGTGGCAGGAGGAAACAAAGATTTAAGCAAGTCTAGGTTCCACTCATATCATTAGGGTCTAGAAGGAAAGAGACCATTGGGTGATTTAGAGAGGCGCCCATTAACAACACAGGGCTAGATGGAGGGTCTGTTGGTAACCAAGGGTCGAGTAAGGTATTTATCCTAGATCCTGATCCTACTTGCCAGCGAAGACCTTTTTTCAGAAGATCTCTACCCTGCAATATACCTTGCCAGGCCCAAGACGGGCGACACCCCTGACGGGCTAGGAGGAAATGATCAGTAAAATGATATCTTGCCTTATACATCCTGGCAAGAGTACTTTCCGGATCACAAATAAGACTCCAAGCTTGCTTGGCTAGCATTGCAACATTGAACCTATGAAAGTCTCTAAATCCCAATCCTCCTTCAAATTTGCCGAAGCAACATTCAGACCATGATAACCAATGTATACCTTTTTCTTTGTCTTGGCCTGCCCACCAAAAAGTGGAGAGTTGTCCATTCATCCTTCTACACAATTCAGAGTGAGTCTAAAACAGGACATCGCAAAGATGAGAGTTGTTGTCCCAACTGCTTTGATGACTACTTCTTTGGCTGCCAAAGACATGTTTTTTGACTTCCACTGACGTATTCGGTTTGCTAACGAGTCTTCTATATATTGAAAAGTTTGGATTTTAGATCTCTGGACTTGAGATGGAAGTCTAAGAAATCTATCATGAACACCAATTGCTGACACACCAAGTAAACCAGCTAGGCGAGTAGCTTCCAAATATGAGACATTAGAACTGAATGAAACAGCTGATTTCTGAAGATTAACTCGTTGCCCACTCACTACTTCATATTCTTGAAGTATTTCAGTTAGACGGGCACATTCAGTAGAGGAGGCATGGAGGAAAAGGTAGGAATCATCCGCAAAGAATAGGTGAGAGATCAGAGGAGCTTCTCTATGAATACGCAACCCGTGGAGGCTAAGGTTTCTAATGGAATTCTCTATAAGGGAAGAAAGAGCTTCAATGTATATAGCGAATAAGAGAGGGGAGAGAGGGTCCCCTTGACGTAAGCCTCTTTGAGGGTGGAAATAACCATGGATAGACCCGTTTAAGGCAATGGAGAATGATACAGTTGTAACACATGATCTGAGCCATTTGAGCCATTTATCTCCAAAACCGAGGAATTTAAGTAATTCAAACAAGAGAGGCCATTCAACTCTGTCATAAGCCTTTTCCATGTCTAGCTTTAAAGCCATCCATTTTTCCTTTCCTTGAGTTTTGGTTTTGAGAAATTGCATCACTTCTTGCCCAATTAGGATGTTCTCTGTGATAGATCTATCTTTCACAAAGCCATTTTGGTTGGGACCCACAATGAGAGGAAGAAACCGACTCAACCTATCTGCTAGAATTTTAGCAATGATCTTGTAGAATACTTGGCAAAGACCAATGGGCCTCATTTGTTTCATGGTTTCAGCATTTGGAGTCTTGGGTATAAGCGTGATCAGCGTATGATTGAAGTTATGCAACAATCTTCCCGTATTAAAGAAGGAAAGAGCAGCATCACAAAGGGATTCCCCAACCACCTCCCAAAACGCTTGAAAGAAGATACCAGTAAACCCGTCTATCCCCGGGGATTGGTAGGCCCCGATCGAAAAAGTAGCGTCTTTTATCTCTTTTCTTGTAACTGCTGCAGAAAGGCAAGTATTCATATGATCATTCACTCTAGTCTGGAGGCCCAAGCTCAAAATGAAATCATGAACTAAAGGTTGGTTAGATAGGAAGAGTCCCATAAAGTATGTTATTGCCACTTTGGCTTTAGCTCCTTCCTCTAAATGAACTAAACCGTTGTCATCTTTGAGGGAAAGAATTGTATTCATTCTTCTCTTCTGGTTTGTAATGGAATGAAAGAAATGGGTATTAGACTCCCCTTCCTGAAGGTACTTAACTCGAGATTTTTGTTTCCAGTAAATCTCTTCTTGTAGGTAGGAAGAAGATAACAATCGTTCAAGCCCCTTAATCACTTCCCAATCAACAGTTGGAGCGTTTCTGGCTGTATCAATGTCTAGGCAAAGTTCTTTTATTTTCCTAGAAGAATTGGAAGTACCCTTTTTCATCCATTCAACAAGGTTATGCCTTGAAGACCTGAGGTTCTCGAAAAATTTGAATTGTCTTGTACCAGAGGTTTGGTTACCCCATTTGTCAGCAAGAACTTGTCTTGCTTCCGAATTTTTTACCCAACGGCTATCGAAGTGGAAGCGATGTCGGCACAAATTGTGGGGCGGGATGAGTTGCAACACAATCTTTCGATGATCCGAACCTAGGTATGATAGGTGAGTGACCTTGGCAAGAGGCCAAAGGTTTAAAGCCGATGGGTCAATTAGAACTCTGTCCAGTCTAGCCATAATATGATCCGAAGCCGATCTGCGATTTGTCCAGGTGAAGTTAGGGTCATTAAAGCCTAGGTCTTGCAGACCTGACTGGAGACAAAAATTTCTTAGTTGATCTAGAGCAGAAAGAGCAGGGCATCTGCCTCCTAATTTTTCAGAGCTGTCAAGGATACAATTGAAGTCCCCAATAACAAATAAAGGAAGAGGTACAGTTCGAATTATGACAGATAATTCATTGAGTTGATTTTGTCTAGTCCCAACTTCACAACTAAGGTGAATAAATAAGAAGTGAGCTCTTCCGAGTCTTGGGTGATGACATTCTAAGGAAATGTAGAAGCGATGTTTGTCTCGAATAATACAATCTACATCCGATGCCCATCCCACCGCTAAACCTCCAGGCAAGCCAATAGCACTGACGAGACGATTTTCTTTAAAACCAAGATTTTTAATTTTGTCTCTGACCAAATCATCTTCGTTTTTTGTTTCACTTAGAAACAACAAGTAAATTGAGTAACGCCTTATCGTTTCAGCCAGTTGCCTATTAGTTGTTATAGGGCCAATCCCTTGACAGTTCCAGAAGAGGATTCCCATTACCGCAACCACAATATGCCAAGAGAAATTATTAACTTAAGAGAATTAAGAATAGAACCCAGAAAAAATTAAACCAATAAAGCAGCCCAAAAAGAAGAGATGATCATTCATTGATACAATGCAGTACTCCTTTCTTCATGTAAGGATTTGTTCTAACAGTACTATATTAGAAGTACTACAGAGATGACAAGCATCTAGTAATTTGATCACAGAGGTGATATCAGGTAGGCCGAATGAAAGCCAGCAACGGCTATGGTTAGCTATCCAGTCGAATTACCCAACCTTAGACAGAAAATACACACGACAGAGCCACACAGCTACTCATAGTTACACAGGATAGCCATTCTAGATGGAAGAACAATTAACAACTCTATTTAAGCTAAACCCATACCTGATACAAGAGGAAAGGCAATCAATCTGTGGTATGGGAATATTCATAAAATAAAATCGACACAAATCAGGCAAGCGAGGATAGTAGAGGATCGGATGGAGAATGAGGTCAATCTCCTCAAAATTAGAGCAAGATCCTGAACTTGCCTTTGTCAATATTTCTTGCAATTGAAAGCAATGTCAAGAAACGGCCAGTCCCCTCAAAATTATCACCTTGACTTGAGAAGAAAAGATTGAAGTTACCTTATTCTTTATTCCACTACTGGGATCATCTCAATACTTGACAATTCTCAAGCATCTCCCCGGGGACGGAATGCATGTAAGGAAATAGATTAGAATCTATCACACTCCGGTTAATCTCTTAACCTTTCATAGACTTGGATCACAGATCTGCTCCCAACTACCAGTGCTCCCCCAGAAGAATTTGAATCGGTGACCTCGCCGCTATTGCAGGAGTTGCTAAGATAGATCGGGGTTTTTGAACTCCGGCTGCCGGCTGGCCGAGGAGGAGGGTAGTGATCGATTTAAGTTGACTCTTCTCCTCAGCCACTGATGGTTGGGATGCTAGCAATGGTGGTGCTTCAGAGCTAACCAGCGGCGCAGTAGGAGGTGCTGGCGGAGAAGATTCCGGAGTTGGGAGAGGCAATGTCGGTGGGTCGACAGGTGTAGTTGCCGGCGGTGACACAGCGCGGAGGAAGGAGCGGCAAGTTCCCTTGTTTTCACCCTTCTCTGTTTTGCTCTTTGACTCTCTCTCTTTCTCTCAAAGATGTATATGTTTATGGTCCAGTTACCTGCTCCAAACATTCTACAGGTGGCTCTTGTTCTCCCTGTCTGCCATCACGAGATGTTATCTGTGATTGCTCATATTGTATACAAGAAAAAGACTTCTTTAATGCCACTTTATAGCTTTGTCGACATTAAATATGAGATATTTATTGGCGGAAATGATGTGGCTGGCTAGTAGACTAACAGACCAGTGGGATGGGGATATGACATTATCAAGTTTTCTTCTTATCATGAACGCTTTGTTAGAGAAAATATATAGCAGAATCAAATTTACTTTCCATTATTGTGAGCATTATTGTGTCTGCAATGATGGGTTTTCTTGCTAGTAATCACGACACAGAGTTATGGCAAAATACTCACATTCATCATGGGGAAGTTGACTTATCTGGTTTTGATCAGTATATGAAGTCAATTACTGGGGGATATGCTGCCCAGACTGTCATTTTTCATTTTAGCATCCATAACCTGCCTTTCCCGTGGCAAAAGGCTACTCCACCTTAAACTATGTTGATAACAATAAGAACAATGTTTTACTGATCTGGTGAACCTATTTATAATTGCAGATGCCATACCTTCCAGTAAAGCAATGCTGATGTAAATCTATGTTGCTATAAAAGCCATGCCGTGGTAGACTCTTCTACCAACTGTGTCCGAGAAAAACACTGATATAAAGGTATCGAGATGAATAGGAAGGGGCCTTCTTTTATTCATTCATAAGAAGAAAGGTAAACACTCCAAAAAGGTGAGTAATAAGCGTAACTTAAAATCACAAAGAAACAGCAGGCTAACAATCAGAACAGGGAAACTTAAATTCAAAGTAAAAGACCCCTTTGATGGTTCCATATTGCCCTACAGATCAGCCACTTCCTGGGTTGCCTGAAACATCAGTGAGAGATGGAGGTTTGATCTTTAGGCTCTTCAATGAACAAAGCTCGATTGATACGAGGGAAAGGTTTTTTGACCTCCTGTCTCTTATAAACCATTGGATCTTTCCCTTTGCGTTTGCGATTTTCCTGTGCTTCTAGGCGAGACAGAGGATTTGGGGATGCCCTTGGGTAAGGGTTCTTGGGAAGAAAAAAGGGACCCCTTGGTGGTTGAATCTGCAGCGAGTTACTTTCCAGGGACTTGTACAGATCAGCAGTAATCTTTGCGACATCCAGCTGCTCAACAAGGTTCTGGCTAGAAGCCATAAAAGGGGGTACCTTCCTTGCAGCCTCAACAGAACCGTCTTTCTCTTGAACGGACCCCTGGAGTGAGTCGTCAGGTAATTCGACTAGGCTGACTCTGCTTCTTGTGGGCTGAAAAAAGCTCACATTATCATCCTGAGATAGGGATCTGCCATTTGAAATTGCAACAGCCAAGAGAGGAGGTGCTGCAGGCTTTGGATTAGCCAGCTTGCCAAGATGCAGGTGGTCACTACTGTTGGAACCCAGCAGATTAGGATTAACCCACACATTTTGAGGGAGCCTTCTGTTTGCAGCAGAATGGGCAGGCCAGAAAGTGTGCTCATTCAGTTTCATACCAGCCCCTCTGCCCCTCAGTTCATCACCAAACCTGAAGGAAGCTTGCCCCCGAGACTAATGGAAAGGAACAGGAGGAGTCCTGGTGCCCAATGATTCCACAGTTGAAACAAAAAAGTGGGAAGGTGTCATATTTTACCTTAGCTTTGAATAGGACAACGGTTTCCCCTTCAGCCGAAAATTTCTTGGCTACCACTTCCTTCTCCAAAGGCTGGGAGATATCCAGCGTCACAACAGATTTGATTAAGTAACCAGGGCCTTGTTTGAAGAAGAAAAGAGCTGTTTATTTAACTGGACCCAATTGTTCTGCTAGCTTTCGCCCAACTGCCACATTTCTGAAGGAAGGCGGCATCTCCCACAGCTGGATGGTGAATTGAATACGAGCTAACTCTTCAGAAACCTCCTCCGAGGGCTGCTTCCACTTCATGACAGTAAAAACAAGGGGTTTGATATGCTAGAGTGCCCTGCTTTCTGCAACAGCCATGTCAATCTTGTTATCAAAGACAAATTGAAACAGATTGTGTTCAACATCGATGACTACCACCGGCTTGGTAGTCTCCCAGGCTCTTTTCACAGTGTGGTGCATCCTAGATCTTGAGACAGGCGAGTGGGAGAACACTCTCCCAATTAGGCTTAGATCATTCCTATCCAGACTCACCAGCAAGTCTTCATCAGTGAAGATTGCAGTAGAGGATTTTGCAGAAGTGCTCATTGTAGGAAGGAATTTGAGAAGGAGAATGGTATTACTGGGAGAAAGACACGAGCATGAGTGTCAAGCCAGCACATCGAGGATTATAAATACACTCGAACGGACAAGAAAAGGAAGGTACTAGTCTCCTAAGGGTCTGGGAATTAAGAGGATTCTGACAGATCCGTGAAAAAAGCCTATTGGCCTAAGGACACAATTAGTTATTAGCCAAAAGAGAGTAAGGGGGGATGGATTTGTGGCCACTAATTCAGTATGTTCCAATTGAAGGAAACTTAAGGCAGTGAAAAGATTTGGTTTGAAAAGCATTCAGAGAGTAAATCAAGCTTGATTTGAAAAACAAGAGAATCAATAAAGATTACAGAAAATTACCGGCGTAATTACCATAGAAAAGGGAAGACCACATTATCAACTAACTCCCGCTAAATTAGGCCAGCATTAACGCACTAGGCCAGACGAAATTAATTACTGAAAATCAGATTTCAAAAAATTCCAAAACACCAGCGAAACTAAAATTCCGGTGGTCACCGGAGATGAGGAACAGAGACCAGATCGATCTCGAAGGGGTTGGTGATACAAAGGACATGGGCAATCTCGCAAAATCTGATTACAGGATCAAAGGATCTAAAAACATAGTGACAGAATATTTTAGGGATCATCCTTATCCCGAATTAGATATTAAAGATCACGAATCTTGACAGGCAATCCAATAGGATTGAATGATCACAAAGAGTCGTCACTCGGACGAGGTGAGTCGAGGGAAATCCCATCCTCTGGACTAAATCAAGATGATTCTATCTTATTTTTGTCCATAACTCCAAGAATTTCAAAGGGAAAGAAACAGCAATACCTTCTGTTCCACCTTCGAGGTCACCTTATTCTTCATTCCACTTCTGGGTTCATCTCAATACTTGGCAATTCTCAAGCATCTCCCCCGGGGACGGAATGCATGTAAGGAAATAGATTAGAATCTGACGAGAAAGCCGGAATTTCGGGAGGACCGGAAAAGGGGCAGGGGAGCGACCTTCTTCCCCAGTGAAAATCCCTAGTCCTTCTCCATCGTCGACCGCTCGCGGCGGAAGAGCCTGAAGTTGGTCCCGACCTTCTTCCCGAGCCTGAAGTTGTTCTCCTAGAGTTGGAGGGCACCGCGTCGATCCGTTGGTTGTTGATTTGCTGGATGAGGGTAAGGGAATCCTATCGACGTCGGCCTTGCACCCCCATCCACCAAGAAACAAGCGCTCTGCCCAGTTCTTGCAACTGATCAATTGCAATCCTTTCTGGGTTGTTTTCGCTATATCAGCAGAAGAACGGCAGCTGCCATTGTCATCCCCTGAAGACGAAGGCGGCTTAGTATTGTATGAATTAGCAGCTGACGAAATGTTCACTACGTTATTGCTTCTCCTCCAGGAACTGCAGTAGCGGTCTCGCAACAACTCCACAAAACCTCTCAGGTTGTAGCTAGAGGAGCCGCCGCCGCCCCTGCCGCGGGCCGCCGGAGACATGATAAACCGATCAAGTGCTGTATGATTAGGCTTAGTTATCAATAATTGGTACGGTACTAATTTACTATGTCATTAGAGGCAAATCTCGTGAGTGATAAATATGTTTGGACTTAATAGAAGTGTTAGCGTTAGGGCCCTTTACTATACTTCAACAAGAAATGATGGAGACAAGTTCTTACGCATGCCAGTGCTTTGTAAGATACACATGTTATTTTCTTTTAGTACAACTATTTTTATTAAATCTAGTTGTGGTAAACGACATCATTTTATAGGAGGGACAACTTGTTCTTTTAGTTTTCGTTTTTAAACTGGAACGGTTCAAATTTTTTTATCCTTGATTCTCTTAAAAACTGAACCAACTTAATCATGTCTAAACAATTTTTTTTATCCTGGATACTCAGAATTATTTCTTACTCCATCTAACTAAATACTATTATTAGGGCAGGTGAGAAATATATGAATTCTTTCACATAGGAACTCTTGTAAGTATGTTACTTTGTTTGATTGTGAAACATCCCACTACTTTGAAACTTGGAAATGACATTTCTACCCCGGGGTATATTTAAAAACATTTCAAATAACATAACCTTGATTAAAATTACCAAACTTAAATAACTTAATAATTCAAGACAAAGCCCTAAACACATTGGAAAAACTTAAATCATACTCTTAAAATAAACAAAAGAAACGAATCTCCAATTTTAAACTTATAACCATAAAGTATCAACAAATTAAAGTGTTCTCTAATGCTTACGATGATCCTTCACCTGCCATCCTTCAGCAAAGATTGTGTTGAGCTCCTCAAACTTGCTGATCACGAACTGTCAGGGTACGATCTCCTCCTCTATGATCTGGTAAGTGAGTTGGGGTCAGTCTACGCCCTTACGTTTAAACTCTCTAGTATATTATTCAAAACTAAATGAGAGTTAATGTTACTCTACATTTTTAAAACTCAAATTTCGACTTAAATTATTGACTGACACGGGCATCCCTAACTAGCTAGTCCGGTTGCCCATCTCATACGTATTAATGCCCATCTAGGCTTCCATAAACTTAAACTTAGTTCGGGGAGTCGTGACGATAATCCCACCTAACATCTTAAACTTATCGTAGTGGCTCTTCACCACGATTCTCAAGAGCATAACTGCTACTCATCTTAAAAATTCTCAAAAGCATAACTGATGCTCATCTCAAAATCTCATATGGGCAACTGACTGGCGCCAATGACGAAAAACTCTTAAAACTTTTCACCTTCCTTGAAGGTGAAATACTCCTTAAAAGCAACTTACTTCTTAACTGTAACTTACTGGTAATTAAATACATTCAATCTAATGTATAACTTAAAACATAATTTACACATAATATCATGCATCACGTAAACATACATAAGCAAATATGACACATAGTAGCAAATCTCAAATTTAAATACCGTAAGGTAAGTACTTTAAACTATTTAATGGGTAGATTTTACCCCTTTACACTCACTTTATTTCCTTAATCAAAATGACTGAAACAGACCTCCAACACAATTCGTTTTTCCTTTGGCGAGATGACCTATTCCCTTACTGAATCTCTAAAAAATTCCCGTAAGATCGTCGAGTTGGATTTCGATACTTGATATATGATGACCATTATATTTATATACGTACTAAAATCGTCCCCTCAATATCAACCATCCCTCTGGTTAAAACTTGAAGAACTCGTACTCCATCCATCATTAGCCATTTAGTTCTCCTTTACATATACGCAAAAATCCACAATTAATTCATCGCCCTACTTCAATTAACTAAAAAGATTACGCACTCATCCTCGTATGCAACCTAGATTTAATTGCTTCATGAACTACCTTTATCATTACTAACTATAGATATATATATACTCAAATAATGCATGCTAGTAAGATCCATTTCTCGTTTTAATCCATAAATATATACTTTACAAGGTAATTAATTAATAATCTTAACATAACTATTTAACCATCTCTTACATAACTACATATTAATTTAAAAGGTCATTTTTATCCCGTACATGCTAAATCCTAGGTAGGTGATTTTAACGTATACTACACCACTAGCCATATTTAATTTACATACGCAAATTTAATAGCTACCATCACGTCACAATTATTCCTATAATACGAATCATACTGAAAAATAACTAACTCATTCATCTATTAATTTAGTCAAGCCATGCATGAAGAACTTTCCGTTAGCTCCTTCCCGTTACAATCATTAATTCAATAACTCTGATCGTCACTCTAAATAAATATAACCAAGTGTTACGGGACAATCCAAATACCACATCGGAAATACTAGGGAAGGAACCCTTGTATATTAGTGTCCACCAAGCTTATTAGTACGAGGCCTTTTGGGGAGGCCACCCAACAGTAAAACCGTGCGGTCTTGGCCCAAAGTGACCAATATCGTACTAATGGAGCAACCCCCGTTATGATAAGTGGTATTAGAGCCTGGTTCTGTGTCTGGGAAAATCCTTGTACCGAGAAGCCCATCGATACAAGGTGTTTGGCGGATCAAGATAATCGTTGAGGTGAGGACACGATGTTCGAGGTCCTTGGCTTAAGTGGAGGATTGTTAGACAATCCAAGTACCACATCGGAAATACAAGGAAGGAACCCTTGCATATTTGTGTCCGCCACCCCAATTAGTAAGTGGCCTTTTGGGGAGGACACCCAAGAGTAAAACCGTGCGGTATTGTCCCAAAGCGAACAATATCGTACTAATGGAGCAATCCCGGTTAGGAGAATCGGTATCAGAGCCTCGTTCGGTGCGAGGCAGTGGACGTCAGTTTGGTGGGCCCTCATTCGGTGACCTTGGGATTTGAGATTCGCATCTGTTTGGTGGATCTAGGAGAGATCCACGTTCGGGCTTGGCGGATCAAAAGAGTTCCGCATTTTGGAAGCAGATTAAAGAGAGTGCTGCGTTTGCTAAAGTCCTTGTACCGAAACGCCCATCGATACAAAGCGTCTGGCGGATCAAGATAATCGCTAGGGTGAGGAAACGAAGTTCCTGATGCTTGGATTGAGGAGAGGATTGTTATGAGACAATCCAAGTACCACATCGGAAACACAAGGAAATGAACTCTTGTATATTAGTGTCCACCAAGCTCATTAGTAGGAGGCCTTCTGGGGAGGACACCCCAGAGTAAAACTGTGCAGGCTTGGCCCTAAGCGGACAATATCGTACTAATGGAGCAATCCGGTTATGACACTAAGATATCCAAAACTCAAAAGAAATGAAAGAGGAGGTCTAGCTAGCTCGTTACCTTAACTTCGTGCCTAGAACGTGATGGAGGTTGTTCAAACTATATTCGACATTGATCTCGTCGATTGATCACTCAATCACTTGGCCAACGTAACTACAATTTAATTCCGTACGTGAACTGGTTACTAAAATGGACTCAAACTTTGAAGTCAAAATTTGGTAATTAGAATAATGAAATAAACACTAAACTTAATTATGAGCTAATGTTAAATTCTGGAATTTTGGACTTTTGAAAATTCCCCACTAATGCAAAAACACTTTTGGAGAGGGTAGATTTAGAATACTAGCCTCAAAATTTTTTTTTGTGTAACGAGAAGAAGATGGAAGGGTTGCTACTGCTGCTTTCTTTAATGGAATTCTATTGATTGGATCGTATCTTGCCATTATTTCAGATATGGAGTAATTATTGTAGGGACCAAGTGGTTGAATAATTGGATTGCTAGATGTAGGGATATGATGATGATTTATGAAGGTTGGAGATCTCAGAGTAAGGACATGTAAATGGGGAGCCAGTCACTATAAGTGTTAGTTATTAACTAGATAATAATAATTACACATTATTATTTTCTCTTATTCACTGTTGCAACTCTTCGTACATAATCGTCTATCCAATCATTCATTATTATGATCGAACTTGAAGCCAAACATCGGGGTGTTACAGGTTGATTAGATGAGTGGTGGAGGAAATTGCATGCATGCATGTACCCTTTTATTTATTGTAGGCAGATGTAAAACACGAACAGTAGATATTATAATGCTTAGAAAGCATGGAGGAACACGCATTGGACGACACATGAAGCAAAGCTTGTATGGTGATCATGATTAACGCGGCTATGTATTGGTTTGGTTATGACAGTCAATTTCATTACCGTTTTTGGCCGTAGCAGTCAAGGCCACTGGTGCTGGCGGGGAGAAGTTGCTTTCGGTCTATACAGTAGCCAATCAATAACGGTTATTATATAATACTAACATAATGGTTATTATAATTCTAACGTAATACTAACATGGCCGAAAGATGAAAAAGAATGTTGCGTGCATGCATGCTTCTTAAAATATTTCAAACATCACAAATATTAAGATTAAATTAATTATTATAAAGAGTAAAAATTATATAATGAGGTTAATTATAACTCATTTATATGTTAATGCCCTTAAATTGATCAACACACCCAAAAATGGCAAAATGAACATCACATTAAACCTAATATCTTCTCATTATTGTCGGATCCATTAATACATACATCACAAACCTTGAGAATGAAAGAAAAAGATTGGTCTCTGGTCTCTGATAGAGTTCAATTCCCTCCATAGTGTTAATCCCAGTAGACATCATCATTGTTGATCACAACGCGTGCAATCGATCTGAAGCTCTAGGATATATCGGACATGATGCAAAATTGTCACTAATAGTAGTTGGACAATGTAAAAAGAACAGGAGAATTCCTAAATGACGCTCATAACACATATATAACCAGGAACAATGTAGTGATTTCCCTACAGTGTAATAACATTTTTAATGAAATAAGTTGAGATAATAAAAGTGTATGATTAGTATAAAGATTCGAAGAAAGGGAAATAAAGAAATTTAGATTGACAATTGTCTTGCTATGACTGAAGGACTTAATCAAAATGTAGTTAGGTCTGCAATTGAAAAAACCCAAAGCATAACACAACAATACATAGTCAAACTGGAAAAAAAAAACTTATTCTCCAACCCCTTCAAAGTTCCTCTGACCGGCAAACGACATCCCGTTCATATGTGTTTCTTACTCCTAGGCGGCTCAAACCCTCGTCTGCTATCGACTTTAAAATCTTGTATATCTTCACACTCTTTCATGTATCTAGCTAAAATCATGAAATATGTGATGACATTCAGATAATCCTTAGCAACCGTCACGGCGCGCTCGACAGAGGACATTGTCTTCGTCTCGACAATAACAAATCAATGGCTAAATTCTGCAGTGTTATGAAATGTTTGACTATTTTTCTGTATTTTGAAAAGCTTGACTAATATATTTTCAAATTTTAAGGTTTTGGCTAATCGATTGTATTTATCCTTTTTCGTTGAACATCACTTTATGAAAACTCTTACAATTCAGTATCATGTTTTCCAGCTCAACATAGTCTAAATGAAGTTTTAACAAAAAATTGATAGTTGGCTAATATTTTATAATTTCAAAATTTTGGCGAATATGTTTACAAAATTGAAATATTTTACTAATAATTTATATTTAATAAAATAAAAAGGATACTCACTTTATTCTACGTATATATAAAAACCAAGTCCTTCCTTGAAAAATGATATTCCAGCCCATTTAGAAAGTGGAAAAAAATCACACTCGACCCCAAATCCGTGAACACCAGGTTTTACCGGTTACTGACTCCTGTCGAATTGGGTATCCATGGTCCATGTTCATTTGCTATTCGGCTATTCCTACTTGTACGCTACAACTACTGATGAAGGGCCATGGATTTAGGTTGGTGATCAGGGATTGGGTAATAAATTGGGTATCCATTGGATGGAAAAGAATATCTTATCAAAAGTGGGTACAAAATCGCATTTCATATCACCCTGATATGAATCACACCACTTCGACGCAATTATATCATCATCATATCGGGAAGAATTAGAACGAATGTTGTAGGTTTTGCACCGGAATTCAAGTAGATTGAATTTATGAGAAAAATTATTACCAATTGGAGACAAAATGCAAAAAAAAAATTGCAAAACGTGTGGGTGGTACAACGAAAAAGTAAAAAAAGAACAAAACAAAAGCAAAAACATTATAATTTTTAGGAGAAGGCTCGTTTGGGTGTTGGCACTAAATTAAGAAGTGGGTAAAGTCAAAACTACCATTCAAAAAATTAATCTCGTGCCTTTGTTTTTGAAATGGAAGAAAATCATGCTTGAATCCCATTATTTATACGGGTTGTAGATAAATTGTGAGCATGGAAGTGAAAGATTTATTATGTGGAACTGGAATAGCACGCCCAAACCAATCATTATTTAAAGATGTTGGTGGC